GTTTTCATATATTGTCATTTAATCCTAAATTTTCTAGATTGCTCAATAGTTGTATTTTATTCATTCTTTAATGTTCCAGAACCAGAACATTCTAAACTTGTATGCTAGTATATAAGGAAATTGTTACTTAATTTTATTATCTGGATGATTTATTTATAAATTCAGTTAATAAAACTAACAGTAGTATATGCTACATTTTGTAAATTTACATCTTGGTTGGTTGATGCCAAACCATTCTTTGTTTCAAAATTGCAAAGATCCTTACCCTCAGAGACAGACAGTAATGCTGCTTTAAAACTGAATGTTGGTATTAGCATGACCAGGAGCAACTAAAAGAAATTGAGTAATTTCTGATCTAGAATAGAGAGAAATTATCATTGCTTGATACTAACCAATTAGTGGAATGAACTCCAAGAATATGATCAAATATTGCAACATTGTAAGGTAGATTATGATGGAGAACAATACAGCTTAGCCTCCTTCTCTCTCGGAACTGAAGGAAACAAATATATCTAACCATTTAAAAAGAATGCTAACGAGTGGGAGTGAGGCAGCTAGCTACTAACTTTAATAGGTAGGTATTATGTTTCTGATTTCACAGTTATTATGAAGTTTATATACATGTAGATCTATAGCCTAGATCTAAACCTTGCATAATTAGGTATGATTACATTTTGTTGTAGAGAGTGAAATGTCATGTCATGAATAATGGGAAAAAAATTCTTTTATCACACTGAAAATTCTATGTATAATAAATAGTGAGAAATAATGGTTTCTAAGACAGAAAATAGCGAAAAGAAAGAATGATAGCATAACAAGTTAAATGTGGGCAGCAAAAAATTACTAAAGATTAAAACAAATCAACAACTGATTCCCGTCTAACATAATCAGTAGAACTTGGCACTATTTCTCTTCTTTGTTGATCAACAGTTTTATGCGTTTCAGTTACATCTAAAAGAGGATCATCATCTTCATCTTGCTTCTTGAATAACTTCTTAATTAGAGCATCATAACATTTCGTACGTGATAACTGCAGATAAAGATGGTACATAACAATCAAAATAAAACTAAAGATAAAAACAGATAAACAAGTATTGTACCAGATCAATACTTTGCTGTCATCAGTAAAGGCTACAGATAAAGAAGCCATGATGCATAAGTTTAATAAGAACCAAACTTCAATATTATTGTTCATTCTTATATTATAAACTCCACCAAAACAATGACTCAATGATAGCATAATAGCTGACACAGTTAATAGCATTGACAATAGAAAATGCTGTGACTGAATGAAACTGTCAACTAATGTAACTGATAATAGTACTGGTATCCTAGCCACTAGCAGTAGACCAGGCCAGAACCGATACTCATCTTTCATTGGACCACTGTAAGCATCAATAATAGGCTTGAAATGACTCCAAAATTTATTTAAGAGTGTGTAATTTGAAAGATACTTCTCATAAAAAGGACTAAGTAAAAGGAACAGTGTGTATGGTATGACAAAGAAAACAGACACCAATAGGGCAAATCCAAATAGTCCAGCATGCTTCCCTTTAGCATATTCAACATTAGGATCCTCATACCATAAACTAACTGATCTTACTGACTCATTTGTACAGTGAAGAGTTACATCACGCTTGTGTAGTACAATAACAATAGTACCTACTAGTTTAGTATACGAGAGAAGGAAGAGTGTAGATAGAACAGGAACAGCATGAGACCCCATCAGTCTTGATATTTTACCGTATCTCCTGCACAATTGTATGATGATAATGATAATGATCCACAGGTAGAGAGGGAAAGCAAACTGGAGCCATTGTTTAACATAACTGTCCATACCATTGTACAAACATATCTCGAACCCAAAGTCCAAGTTAATCCATGATATCACTTGACTCAAGACTGGTAATGCTCCTTTCCTTGAAAAGACTGGCTCGTATAACTTGACAATGTTAGCATAGAACAATAGACCATTCAGTGTACCCACTGATACTGATAAATTGAGGGCAATCAGTAGAACCACAAGTAGCACACCCATCACTGCAAACAGAGCAATCCAAGTTATCATCATGTAATTATCATGACACTGTCCACACTTGTTTGATCCCATTAGTAGACTGTATCCCTCTGTACATGATCCACACATTCTGTGTCCTCTATTATCCACACATTGAGTATCAGTGTCATTCAACTTGAAGGTAACAGGATTAGGAAAACAATAGAGGAGGCAGTCCTCATTGATAATGCAAGCATCAATATTGTTTGCAGTAGCATTGAAAGATGTACTGGTATTATACATTCCTATCCACAGTAGACCATTGTGTGTGATGGTTAGAGTAGTTATATTGCATGTCACATTCTCTCTTGAAACACTTTGACTGCAAGCACAGATAAATCTACCTTGTGAGCTTTTTGTACTAAAACCAATGGGACATTCATTAACAATATAATCCCAATGAATGAGAGAGGATGTGTTAGTAGCAAACACTATGGTATGTTTTACATGACTGGGAGCATGATTTGGTTTATATTCAACCAGTGAACAAATAGAATCAGGCTTAGGTCTAGCATATATATTATCAACCGTAAGTCCATCATATATTTCCAATATACCATCAGTGGCAATTAATGATCCAAAGTAATCATAACCAAACAAAAGTACATAAAACCGTAGTGCTTGACCTGGATAAATCTGTTTTTTATTAGCAGTGCAAAAACATGCTTTCCGTGCATCACCTGTTGAACTAATGTTTGGATTTGTCAAGTTGAAATGATTGCTTCCTCGATCAGTATATCCATATATATCGTTACCAAATGCAGCACTATTGTTTATTAATGTAAGAGGTATATTTGATGCCTCTAATATTATGTTACTACCTGACTCTTTAACATAGATACCTCCACCTTTGTAAGAAGCATGGTTACCAATAAACTCCAAGTTAGCTGATGATGTTAATACCAATTTTGACAAGTCATTTATTGATAATCCTCCTCCAACTACTCCAGTATTGTTTTTAAATGTTAATTTATTTTCAATTGTTACTAATGATATTCTAAGTAACAATCCTGTTGAGTGAGTGTTAGCTACAATAACATTACTGAGACTAATAGCATTACTGTTTAATATCACATTTGCTTGATTTCCAATCAGTTTAGTATCTGTTATTTTGATTTGGACCGGTGACAAAAATTTTGTATCAATATATAAGCCTGTACTTTTTATATTGTTAGATATCGAACAAGACTTCATGATAATAATAAAGTGATTGCTAAGTGTTCCAGGTAAGTATTCATCTCTAAGTATTAAAAGTCCATCCCAATTATCACGAAATATACTGTCCTCTATTACAAAAGTAGAAATTGATTGAATATCAGGAAATTTGCAATCAACTGATTTCAACATTTGGGCAAATTTAATATGAAAGGCGGGGGCATCAAATAATACTGATTGAAATGATGCATTATGAACATGAAAAGAAAAAAGGCTATCATTCAAAATAAAACGAGAGAGGCTATAAAGTATATTATGATAGTTATGAAAGATGACTGACAGATTGTACGAGGCACCATGATTAGTATAAAATACCATCCCAGTGTAATTAAATAATGTGACATTAGTCAGTATTAGTGAGTAATGAGGTAGTGCAGTCCTACAGACTGGAAGAGGCTCATACGTAATAACTACACCATAACAAACAAAAACTGAGGATGATACCTTAATATCAAAAGCATTGTTTAATTTCATGAAAATTGTATTGACAGGTTCTTCTGTTCCATTAAATAAAGAGTTAGTTACTGTAATATTACTGGATGATTGAGCAACGACATGAACATTACTAATGAACATGTTAGAAATAATGACATGACTGCTGTTATAAATGAGAATAGACCTTTCATTACTCCTGCTACTAATAAGACAAGCCTGATCCAGTCCATATAGAGTAACATTCCTTACTGCAGTCATGTTGACATCATCATTAATGTCACTGGTTCCAATGAAGTAGAAGATGCTGTTATTGTATTGAGACATATTCCCAGCATACACTGATAAAGAATTACAAGGTGACTGAGTAACTGAACTGCAGTCATCAGACACGTAATACTGATGAGAGGAGACACTGCAGGAGCTACTGAAGAATAAGAAAACAACCACTAACAGGAGAGACATACTCTTGCTTGCTATATCTAGTATATACTACTTGCTAATGCAACATGAGCTCTTTCATATAGGCATCTCAAACTCTCCAATTATGCAAATCTTGTAGATTAGTCATAGGAATTACAGGCTTGGCTAAACTCACATTTTAGATGGAATCAAATTTAATGAGCCAGTCAACTTGCTGTCATTTTGAACTAATTTCTGGCATGTATTATTAATGCTAGAGTGCTCCTGTCTACTAGTGTATATCTCTCCTCTTCTGTGGCTTAATTGCAGGGGCATAGCCAACTATCGGCCATAACGAATTTACTACCTGACTTGAGAATTGAGATGTTTTGGATCTGTAGTCATAGGTGAATCATAGATACTGGGTGATGAAATGATGCAATAACACTAAAATACAGATCAACTTGGGTCAAATAGAGAGTGGGGGAATGAAATATGTGTGAATTGAACTATTTCTTCCTTGAATTCTAGTTTGTACAAGTACAAATCTAATAAGTCTAAGAAACATTCCAAAGCACACCCTACACAAATGACACATTCATTGTCAGCAAGTTCATTGTCAGCAAGTTCATTGTCAGCAACCACCAGATTAAACTATCTGCTCTAGTAGTTTTATTTAAACAGGTGGGATTGTTCTACAACTTGTTCTATTTGTACTTGTACAAATACAAATTTGATCAAGAAATGTACATAAAATTGCTTGATTAAACTACATATTAGTTGGGGCTATGTGTTTTTATGATAAGTGGATATGCAAAGAATTATTCTTCGCATTACAAAGTACATTTTGTATTGGGCACAATATGCGAATGTGTTTGAAATGTCAAATCCTCCATCCATTTATTACAAAAGTATGTATAATCATAAAGCTTCTGTATTGTTGCTGCTCAAACAGAATGGTATACATGTGCATAAAAAAGTTATATATTTTGTCCTGTCCAACAATAAAAATATTTCTGTTATAAATAGTTCATAATCCTGACTTGATTGCTCACATTGTCAATCAACTCCAGCCTCAATCCCTAGTTTATCTTTGACTGCTATTGCAGAGCAAGTCACAACCGAGTTCATTAGTTTGGCTGGCTAGTCCTAATTCTCATGACTAACTGAGGAGAGAAGGAGAGAATAAGAGAAGAATCATTTAAATTTAACTATAATGTACTTACTTTTCCAAACCACGTGAGTTTCTTAATTTTAACACATGTACAAACTCCTTTCTACTTCATTCTCCATTATCTAAATACCAATAATAATGATGATGATGATGATGATGATGATGATAATAATAATACACGTACATGTAATGGTGAAATGACTATATAAATATTAAAAATAATCATAAACGTGCATATCAATCTAGCACAAAGCTATACATTTGAAATTAATAATAAAAAATGAACTGACTATTTATATCAAAAATTGTGAAAAGACATCAACAAGATGACTGCTGACAGATGAGCCAGTCACAGCCTTGCAAGTTTCATTGAGCTCAGCTTTAAAAAATGAAAATTAATAAAAATAGAGCAACACAAAGAGAAGGAGCTAGTTACCAGGTGTTATAGGGTTTTAGCTGCATAGTACATACCCAGGGCTGTGCCTATGTCAGAGAGACAACCCATCAAATGATCAAAGATTTTAACATCTTCCAAATTAACATCCTAAAAAGAAATGACGAAGAAATTTGCTAGTTTTAATCATCAGAAATTTATTAAATAAATAAAATACTGTATCATTAGTTGATTGAAATGCTATTGATTAAACAGTGCAACTTTTTCACCAGATTAGGTTTAGGTCCAAGTTTCTTCTTAACTCTCTTGACCAC